GTGGTCCATGCTATCATTATCAGATGAAGTTTGAGGAGGGTATGCTACTAGCGTAAGGTCCCCTAACAGGGAAGAGGTGAGACATAGATTTAAACTGCACAATACCCCAGGCTTGGTGGTACAAGCCTTTAATCCCAACACTCAGTAGGCAGAGACAGCCTCAAAACAAACAAACAAACAAACAAACAAACAAACCGCAGAAGACACAATGTTGTCCTTTCACCTTAACTGTTGGGAAATGTCTCCATCCCAGGAAGTTTTAGTCAGACTTTGGGTTAGAATCTGGACCTCTACAGACAATAAATTACCTTCAAAGTTGCTATCATGTCTTTATGTTCCCCCAATCTCCTCACCTCCAATCTGGGGTGCTCGAATCCTCACAGCATTGACACTACCTCTGAAGCGGTGTCGTATTCCCTGGAGAAAGCAAGGAAAGGGGTCAAGGTAGGGGTAAGACCACTGGCAAGGCAGGGTTTCTAGCCCATGTAAGAAGAGGTGCTGGGTGCTTACTGGTGGGCACTTGCCTAGAGTGAGCAAGGCCCAGGGTTCTTCTACTCCCAACAAAAAGAGGGATGACATGGAAAAGCTGTTAGATGCATAACAGCAGCCAGAAACGCAGGAGAATGGGGAATATACAACAAAGATATTCTTAGAGTGGGGTTGCTAAGTTTTATTCATCTGTTCACAACGAGTAGATCCTGTGCACCAGGCTTCATCTTATATGCAAGGGTACAACAAGGAACAAGGTCCCTGCCCTCTCCGAGTGAGTGCACACAGTAGTGGCAGAGACAGATCCTAAGCAATCAAGCAAGAAAGCTTCAGACAGCAAAATGTATTATAGAACAGTAACTCTCAAACTGTGGCTCGCAACCCCTCGCAACCCCTTTTGAGGGTCACAGGGGTTGCCTAAGACCATCAGAAAATAGTTATTTACATTACGATTCATAACTAGCAAAAATCAGTTGTGAAGTAGCAACAAAAGTAATTTTATGGTTGGAGCATCCCAACATGAAGAACTTCTAATGAGTCACAGCATGAGGAAGGTTGAAAACCACTGCCTTAAAGCTTTGCCTATTTCCAATTCCCTCTCTCTACTTCACACTTGCCACTGAGGATGGGCACTCTCAGCCTCTTGCTTTGGCAGCCATGCTCCTTGTTGCCACACCTCCCTATCACAATGGACTCTTCTCCCTCTGGAATTCAAAGCCCAAATAAACTCTTCCTTCTATTAATTTCCTTGGTCATGGACTTTATCACGACAACAGAAAAGTAACTGATATATCCCAAAAGGCTCACACCCATTTCATAGAGGAACAGGCACCCGGTTCATCTTTAAGTCTTAGAGTAAAGCTCACGAGACTAAGCCCAGTCATCTCTGTGGTTGAAGGCCATCTTGTTCTAAGATTTATGTAGTAGTGTTCTGCCTGCATGCATGTATGCTTGCATGCCAGAAGGCACCAATGATCTCATTATAGATTGTGAGCCACCATGTGGTTGCTGGGAATTGAACTCAGGACCTCTAGCAGAGCAACCAGTGCTCTTAACCTCTGAACCATCTCTTCAGCCCTAGTTCAAGGCAATCTTTCCATTATGAGGCTTTGCAAAAATTAAAAATAACAAAGTTACACTGGCCCGTGTACATGGGAGGCAGGGGCCAGCTTGGTCTACAGAGCAAGCTCCAGGACAGCCAGGGCTATACAGAGAAACCCTAGGACAGCCAGGGCTATACAGAGAAACCCTGTCTCAAAACAAAAGAAAGATTTGTGTGTGTCTGTGTGGCATATATACACATGAAGGTGCAGGTGTGTGAATGTGTGGAGGTCAGAGGACATCAGGGCTTTTTTTCTATTGCTTTTGGTCTTGAGACAAGATCTCTCACTGAGTCAGAAGCTTCACTTCCAGCTAGGCTGACTGGCCAGCAAGTTCCTGGGATATGCCTGTCTTGTGCCCCACCCCCTCCAATGCTGGGGTTATAGGCACAGGCAGTCAGTCATGCCTAGCTTTTAACAAAGGTGCTGGGGAATCAAACTCAGGTTCTCATGCTTGCAAAGTCAAGTACTCTTATCTACTGAGCCCTCTCTCCAGTCCCTCCCCATACTTTTAAAACAGTAACATCTAATAAAGTCTCCAAGGGCAGGGGGTCTTAAGGGAAGAGGTGGAATTATATTAAAAGGTCCCCCCATTCAATGTAAATTTGTCTCTCTGTCAAACTTCTGTCATTTTTTTCTATAATAGGATTTAAACTCAGAGTCTGCTTTGAGGTAAAATCTACATTGCATACACATTTAAGATTTGATGCTAACCTTTTTCCTTTTATTCTGATGCTGAGGAATGAATCAAGGACCTCCCCTCCTAACCAACTACTCTACACCACTGAGATATGTACTGTTGTGGAACAACCTTTGTACACTGTAAATATGTATTGTTCTCATTGTTAATAAAAAGCTGATTGCCGATACTTAGGCAGGATTTTTGGGGCAGAGAGAATGCTGGGAAGAAAGAAGGGCAGAGTCAGAGGAGCTGTCAGTCATACAGAAAGGAAGCAGGACATGCAGGAGATAAATGCCACAAGCATTGGGACAGCACATAGATGAATAGAAATGGGTTGATTTAAGTTGCAAGAGCTAGACAGTAACAAGCCTGAGCTATTGGCTGAGCATTTATAATTAATAAGTCCCTGAGTGGTTATTTGGGAAGGAGCTGGTGGAACAGAGCTGATCATGGTGTCGTGGTCCCCTGGTCCCGACAAAAAACTCTGCCTACAATATACTTCCAGCCCCTAAGACTGTTTCTGACAGTATAGCATTTCCACAGAGGTCCAGCTAGATAGTTAAAGAATAGAGTCCCTCAAATCATAGATCCAGGAGCCAGGTCCAACAAGTAAGTGAACAAGCAACAGAATGATTGTGTTCAGAGCAGACTGAATTCTATGTCAGCAAGACTGCAGACTCCCACACCACTGGGGGAAGGCCCAACTCACAACAGGGGCATTGCGAAAGCCCTTGATAGCCTGGAAGACTCCACCACCAATGACACCCATAGTGAAGGCTCCACCGCAATCATCCACAATCCGCCATGGGCTGCAAGCAGGAAGGAAAAGATTGGGTTAATGTGAAACCCTGCCCTGCCAAGCCTGGACTCTTCGGAACTTGGAGAACCAAAATGGGAAGCTCACGACTGGTAAGAAACAACTCAGATAATAACAAATTAGTTCTGTCTGTCAGTTTTGATACAACTCATAAAGCCAGAAAGGAAAGCCAGGCATGGTTCCACATACCTGTACTCATAATACTTGGGAAGTTGAGGCAGGAGGATCATGAGTTGGAGTTCAACCTGGGTTATAAATGGAGATCCTGTCCCAAAAAGAAAGTTTGTGCAGCTGGACAGTGGTGGCATATGCCTTTGCCTGTAATCCCAGCACTTGGGAGGCAGAGGCAGTTGGATCTGAGTTCAAGGCCAACCTGGTCTACAAAGTGAGTTCTAGGGCAGCAAGGAATACACAGAGAAACCCTATCTGGAAAAACCAAGAGAGAGAGAGAGAGAGAAGGAGAAACTTTGTGTTCTGGGTGTGCCGTGCCTTTCATCCCAGCACTGCAGAGACAGAGGCAGGTAGATCTGTATGTTTGAGATCAGCCTGATCTACCCAGAGTTCCAGGACAGTCAGGGCTACACAGGGAGAGCCTGTCTCAAAACAAATAAACAAGACATAAAAGCTTTGTAAATATATCAGTGATGCAAAAGTGAGAAAATTTTACTTTTTTTCTTTTTCTTTTTTTTTTTTTGAGGCAGGGTAGCCTTCCAAATGCTGGTCTTATTACTGACAGAATAGTACTCTTGATTACAACTAAGCATCAATCAAACTGTTTTGTTGCTATCAAAATAAAAAAAAATCAAATGGATTGACCGGTACAAATATTTGGCAGGTTTCAACAGTGTTAATTAGCTAATGTTACTTAAGCAAAGCAGAACAGGGTGGCACTTTGTTCTCAAAAAAAAAAAAAAAAAGCAAGCACGTTCAAGGAAGCCGTGTACAGTATCCTTTTAAAATCTAAAACAACAACAACAAGTCAAATGAAGTTCCAGGTCCCACCTCTTAGCCTACAGTGGGTTCATACATGCCCTATCCGGAGTCAAAAACCAGTCTGGTAAAGTCACGCGAGGAAACCCTGTGGGTTTTGGCACCACGCCTCTCCTCCCCCGCTGCCGGAATGGATTTGCCCAGCGTTTCTCTTTTGGCTCACAAAAAAAGGGTCTAGGAGAACAGTCAGGATAACAGTGAGGTGGTTTGTCCCATATCGCACCTACAGGGACACTCCACTGTGGCGGGTTTTAACGAAGTCCAAGTGGGCGGAGCCATGCCGGACGCACTGAGGCAGTAAAGTTTATAAGCCTCCCGCGTCAGGGACTTGGCAATGGAGCCGTTGCCTTCCCCGCCCGCCTCCCGTGGTTGGCCTGGGCGTCGCAGGGACTGTCCCGAAGCCTGTGCCCATGGCCGTACCAAGGTTCGCGAGCGTACTCCTCCATGGCGCCCGGAGCAGTTGGTCGCACTGGCGCGCCACTCCCCCTCCCCGCGGACCGCCCACAAGTGCGGAGGCGTAGCACGTAGGCCAAGGAAACAATTGGTTTTCCTTGCTTACGTAAGGCCGTGGGCGCGTTCTTATTGGCTAGACAGGCAGGCCACGTCCGTTCCCTGTAAGCCCCTGGCGTCGACCAGTTAACTGCGTCAGGGGAGAGTGGGGAGCATTTTGTTTGTTTAAAGCAGAGCCCTTCGATATTGGTAAGCATAGTGACAAAGAGGGAGGGGAGGGCAGGGGACAGACTTTGCTTATCCGCATAGCTGGACTGGTAACGGCGGGGTAGAAACTTTCTTGTAGCTCTGGAGATGGTGTTGGCATTTTTGCGCCCCCATCCCAGCGCTTTGGTTCCGCCCACTGTGCTGACTTGGAGGAACGTTGGGTGATTCCATTTTGGGTTGCGGGTGTGTTACACTTGGTCCCTCCGGCGGTGGGTGGAGCCTTGGCCTGGAGAGGAACTGGGTCTTCGGTGCTTCCGGTCCGGTGCCCGGTCCTTGGAGTTCTGGTGGTACTAGTCCAAACCATACTGCCACGTATTTCTTTCATCTTTTAGCACGCACTTTTGTTCTGTCCTTCGAGCTATTGGTGCAGTTAGGTAGGTGTATGTGTGTGTGGGGGGCGTCAAATGAGCACTCGCTGTCGTGTGATGCGTGGTTACTGGATATCCTGACTGAAATGTTTATCGGATCTGTCGCTGTCGTGTGATGCATGGTTACTGGATATCCTGACTGAAATGTTTATCGGATCTATCGTTCAGTACTGTCTGTCGCTTCCTAGGTCTGGTCCCACAATGCCGCTCCCAGTTGCACTGCAGACCCGCTTGGCGAAGAGGGGCATCCTCAAACATTTGGAGCCCGGTGAGAAAGCTAGTAACAGATGGGTCTACCATGTGCTGGTGTTACCAGACGTCTGTTGTTCTGTTCTCTAACCCCCTCCTGCCCCTCCCGCCCCCGTCGAACCCAGGTGCATGCTAAGCAGGCGCGAACCGTCGTCCCCAGCCCCAAGCACACACCTTTTCTGCGCTTGCGTTGCTGGGGTCAAGCCCAAGCACTTGGAGGTGCTCTACTATTGAGGCTTTGTTGTTAATACTTGATGCCTTGCATGGCCTGGCAGGCATCCTGATGCCAATATAATTTCCTGATATCCATTACTACTGCATAGTAAGTACTGTGTGAAGCATTGACTGGAGGGTAGAGTTTAACTTAATTCATGAATAAAGTGGGCATGGTGGGCATGTACCAATAGTCTCAGCTACTTAGGAGGCTGAGATAGGAAGACGACTTGAGTCCAGGATATCAAGGCCAGCCATGGCAACTTGGCAAGATCCAGTCTTCAGAAACTAAAGCTAAGCTGCCCCGGTGGTGGTGGCACACTCCTTTAAAACCCAGCACTCCAGGCCAGATATTTCTGCACACTCCAAAAAATAACTAAAATCCAAAGGGGTAGCTACTTGGTATTAATTAATGTTTGAGACATGGTCTTGGTCTCACTCTATAGTTCTGGCAGGCCTGGAACTCATGTAGATCACGCTGACTTTGAATTCACAAAGATCTGTCTGTCTCCACTTTTCAAATGCTGGAATTAAAGGTGTCCACCACCACACTGGGCCAGTATTTATTTAATAAGAGTGATATATTCTGCAGTCTCTGTTTCAAATATAGTGGCAAGGTGTTAATGCTTTGTGGTTTTTCACTCAGCAGACGTACTGTGATGATAGGCATGATAACCTATTAACATTTATTTGGGGCCACCTCAGTGCCTGGCACATATATTAGTAGTCTAAAGTGATCGTCTACCAGTTAGGTTTATGAAGTGGCATTTCATTTGTATTTTAATAAATAAAACTTGCCCGAGGATCAGAAAAGCAAAACAGCCACACTGGCCAGCCTCACAGACCAGGCAGCAATAGCACACACCTTTAATCCCAGTAGCTACACCAGCAGTGGTGGTGCACGTCTTTAATCCCAGAACTAGAGAGGATTATAAAACAGGAGGCGACAGCTCTCAATCTGTCTCATTAGCAGAGGTAAGAGCCAGTGACTGGCTGCTTTGCTTTTCTGACCTTCAGGTTGACCCCCAGTTTGTGACTCTTGGGTTTTTATTACCCGTGCTACAGACTTACTGTATTACTGGCTGCTATTTACACATTATTGCCAATAATAATAAAATCTGGCGTGAGTTTTGACCTATATGGTGTGTTAGGCACTGGAAAGAGCATCATAATACTGTATGGATAACTGACATCTATTACAGGATGACTTTGGGCCAACCATAGACTTTGTACCTAACAGTGCTAATTTTTTTGGTGAAGCTAGGGTATGAATCCAGGGTTTCGGGCAAACCCCATATCATTTTTGTTTAAGTCTCTTGAGTACTGAGCCCATTGCTGAAAGTATATATCTATTTGCACTCTGAGTATCACAGAAGTTTGTTTTGTAATGAAAATGTACATGACCCAATTCTACATCCCAGTCAAACATCCTTTGGGGAAGGATGTGAACTCCTCTGCTGAGCAGCCATTGTTTAGACTCTTTCCAAGGCTTCTAACACGAGGATGCTGTTTCCTCTTAGGACCACCATGCTGGTATTATTCTCTTGCCCTCGTGGCCATCTCCACTCATCAGTCACAGGATTCATAAAGGGATCAAAGCCCTGAAGAATTCATTGTACATGTCTGCCACCATTTAACTTCAATGATAACTTCTTGTCCACAAATTTCTTCAGTTCGGGAGGGTGGGCCTTGCTCATGGCAATTCTTCAGCGGGCTTCCGCACAGGAAGGAGCAAGTGGCAAATGCACGCGCAGCAGGCCGGGTGCTCAATAGTATATCTTTTATTAGCAATAGCAATATGGATGATCATATGTGACATTTCTTTTGGTGTCACCGGGCTGGGATGTGCATTGGTTTTTGGATTTTTGAGACAGGGTTTCTGTGTAGTCTTGGCTGTCCTGGAACTCACAGAGATCCTCTTGCCTCTGCCTCCCGAGTGCTGGGATTAAAGGTGTGCACCACCACTAATTGACATGGCATATGCATTTTATTGTTAGTTATACCCACAGCTGAAATATGTTATGGGCCTACTGATAGCCAGGCATTGAGCTGATAATAAACATCACTTTTATTCTACTATCACCAGATATCTTGCTGCAGGCTTACTATATGCCAGCCCTTAGAAGTAGATTCAGAGCAATGTTTGAATTAATTCCTTGCTGTACATGACTCAGAAACCCATCATAGTTCAGAAGGCGAATAGGTGACCCATTGTTTTTAGGCAACCCCCCTACTATTTAAACCCATTTCATTTGAATAGGTTTGGATGATACAGAGCCACGTGGTATCTGAACTCAGGAACTGGTAGGTTTTTGAAGATTCTCTATCAACTCTCAATGCATAGCTCTGTCTTCCACGTACAGTGGTGTAGTTGTGAGTGGTTATGGCCCCAGGCCTTGAGTATAGGAAGAGAACCCCTGGGGTTCTTAAACTGCTTTTCTGTCTCCCTGTTCTTCCAGAGCCAGAGGAAGAGATTATTGCTGAGGACTATGATGATGATCCTGTCGACTATGAGGCCACCCGGTTAGAGGGTTTGCCACCGAGCTGGTACAAGGTGTTTGACCCTTCTTGGTGAGCCTACCAACATAAGGCAGGAGGGATGGCTGGCTTTTCCCTTCCTGTGTTAATGAGGAAGGTATCTGCTATGGAGCCATGGAGCAGATCTAAGCAGAGGTCAGGGAAACAGTTGACATAAGGGACATCTGTGCTGACGTTCCCTTCCCTCTCACTGCCCACAGTGGACTCCCTTATTACTGGAATGTTGAGACAGACCTCGTGTCGTGGCTCTCACCACATGACCCCAACTTTGTTGTTACCAAATCTGCCAAGAAACTGAGGACCAATAATGCTGGTGAGTTGGCAAATGCATGGGTATCTCAGTGATTCTTACAGTCTCAGAGAGGGGCTGAGGAGACAGTATGTATAAGAGAGGGCTTCAGGACTTCTCTGTTACCGCAGATGCTGAGGACAAGTTGGACCGGAATCATGAGAAGTTGGACAGAACTCATGAGAAGTCAGACCGAAGTCATGAGAAGCCAGACAGGAGCCATGAGAAGGCAGACCGAAACCATGATAAGTCTGACCGGGATCGAGAGCGGAGCTATGACAAAGTGGACAGAGAGAGAGATCGGGACAGGGAACGAGATCGGGACCGGGGGTATGACAAGGCAGACCGGGAAGATGGCAAAGACCGGCGTCACCATCGCAGAGAGGAACTAGCTCCTTACCCCAAGAGCAAGAAGGGTAAGCAGATCAGGTCGGGACTTGGATGAGTCAAGTGAGGTACCAGGGCACAGGAATGTAAGGAACGCATATCTAGACCCAGGCTCCTGGAGAACGGTGCTATGGGCCATGGTAGCCCCCGGTACCACTTCTTCCTGGGAGAAGGGGCTCAGTGATCAGGGGCTCCTTGGGCCTTAAGTGATGAATTTAACCAACTACGTATTTCTATAGCGGCGAGCCGAAAAGATGAAGAATTAGACCCCATGGATCCCAGCTCATACTCAGATGCACCCCGGTAAGTGAAACCCCCTGCCGATCCTGGTTTCTCATGCGTGTCGCTATACCTGTGAACAGTACCCTCCTCCTGTATTTCTTCTCATTCTTTAACCATGGGCAGTTGGAAGAATGTCCACTACACCCTTTTCCTGTCCTCTAATTCTCTGTTGTTCCCCAGGGGCACGTGGTCAACAGGACTACCCAAGAGGAATGAGGCCAAGACAGGCGCCGACACGACAGCAGCTGGGCCCCTCTTCCAGCAGCGCCCATACCCTTCCCCAGGGGCTGTGCTCCGCGCCAACGCTGAGGCCTCCCGAACCAAACAGCAGGACTGACCCTTTGTTTGCTGTAGCTTTGGCAGTTTGCCTTCCTGCTTTCTTCCTTGTGGCTCTGGATGTAGGGGCCCAGAGCTTTGCACATGCTGAATAAGTATCCCACCAATGAGCGACACTCCCGGCCCTTTATTGTTTGTAATAAAAGCTTTGTTGTGGATCCTACTCAGGGGACTTGAGTGCTTCCTTTCTTCATTCTTTCCAGGCTTCCCAACCAAAGCTGACAAGATGCAAAACACATTTTATTTGCAGAAACTCACCTAAGAAATACTGCAAAGTAGCAGAAGTTGAGGTGGGCCCATTAACAGGTTAGTCATGTCAGCCCTATGTGGGGCAGGGTTGGTGGGGACAGGGAGTTCCCTTGTCTACCTCACCCTACCCCTAATACTGATAAGAGTTTAGTCCCAGCTGGGCCAGGGCAAGAAGGGAGAACGAAGGCAGGCCAGCATCTTCAATTCCAGCAGCTACGAGCCCTTCACCTTGGTGAGCAACCTGTGGTGAACACGGGAAGGAAAGAGAAACACAGAAAGCTGGGGTGGGCTGGCGGGAGGGTTCCCCGAGCAAGCGAAGGCGGTAGTAGTAAACTAGTAATCCTGGGGTTAATAATGGTGCTTATGTGGAGAGAGCAGGGCCCGGGTCAGAGAGCTACACATGCGCTAAATAAATACAACATCTTTATTTGGCATTGGGTATCCTGACATGTTCATTACAGTTCCTTAGAAAACAACACCCCCCCCCCAAAATCAGAACAAATTAATCAAAAATAAAGATCCAATGGCCCTATTTACATATAGCAAAGACAGCCCAGGCACCTTCCATGCGTGTATTTATGCACACGCGCGTGTACGCTCACTCACACACACACACACACACAGGCACACACATCTGGGATACAGTTAAGGAGTTAATAAGCTTTGGGGAGTGCAGGGGTGCAGGTTCCATGATTCATCAATTCTGACACCCGCCATGAAGTAAGGGTGTTTTAAACAGCCAATGGGGCTGCAAGAGTGGGATTGGCAGCTTTATTTTTCCTCTCTGGATGTTTCAGAAGATAATCAATCCTTCATCCGTCTCTTCAATTACGTAAGATTCAGCCACTTCAGGATTTCCCCTCCCCATTTTCCCAACACTCTGGATCATTATTAATCTGATTATCACAAATGCCCAAACTACTGAAAAGCGAACGGTGCTTATTGCACCCTCCCCAATATGAGCTGATGCAAACTTTTCAGCTCGTGCCTCTCTCCGCACTCCAGGCACTTACAACAGGCCGATCTTCAAGGGTCTCTGTACCAGGGAAACTGCCCAAAGGCCACATCAGAGACCAAGCTGTTGACATGATCCAGGGTGATGGTGCAGGAGAGAAGGCCTCATACAATAGGAAATGGAACCCCACGGGTAGTCATTAGTCGTTACTGAAGAGCTGCAGGGCTTTTGTCCAGTCTGCAGGATGGCTGGGATGAACTGTCCCAGGCATGAGAGACAGGACATCTCCAGCAGAGGGTCATGGGGAAAAGCCTGGAATAGCAGTGCCCCAACCCTGTTCCCAAAGAGGTTAGCCTTGGTCAGAGGAAGCTGCTCAATAAAGCTCCTTCAGGAAAGGGGGGGATCCATCTACCAGGGAGGCTCATATCCCTAGTTCCATATCCCTCTAGAAGTATGGGAGAAAAAAACCCTCCAACCCCACAAAAGTCAGGCCCTGGCAACAACTTTGGACCTGCAGCAGCCCAACCCCCTCCACCCAACCCCCTACCCTGGCTCCCCCAACCACTATCAGCTCTCACTTCACCAGCACTGACTTTGGCAGAAAGGGCTCCGTGATGAGGTCTCCTCGAGAAGACAGCTGCGGTGGCGGTGGCTGCCCAGGAGGCTGCTGGTGAATGCAGGGCCCGGAGGCAGAGGCAGAGGTGGAGACTATGGCTTTGACTGCACCTCGGGGGAGGCTGTAGAGGTAGACGGCACCAATGACCAGCCCAGCGCCCAGGGCAAATAAAGGGTCCAGGTGGAAGCCAAAGAGGCGAATGGAGGCAACAGTGGACAGCACAATGGACAGGGAGGTGGCAAAGCCCTTGAGGATGTTATCAGCATACTTGACAACGACAGCCACCAGGAGCCCACCAAAGGCTTGGTTTAGTACCACACCCCAGACAGCAGGCGTGTACCCAAAGAAGAAGCCTTGATGGGCTACAGCAGTGCCCTCAGCCCACCAGAGCCCCACCAGGCCCAGTGCTGTGCCAAAAAGGCCTAGCTGTAGGTTACGCAGCCACACAGAACCTGAGCTGCCTTTGAGGATCTTCTCAAAGTAGACCCCTGCGAAGCCTGAGGAGAGGCAGGAGGCCACAACAGCTGCTAGTCCTGCCCCGGGATTCTGATCCAGTGGCCGAGGGCCACCGCTACCAGCTTGTTGTGCCTGGACAATCGCAACACCAGTGAATAGCAGCACCAGGGAGGCCCACTGCAGGCGTGAGAGGCTGCGGTTCAACATGAGCACGGAGAACAGTGCTGTTGTCAAAATCTTCAGCTGATATGTCACCTGCAAGTTGCATATGGAAGGCACTGAGGGCTGGCCCCAACTCCCAGGAAGTGCAAGGGGCAGGGGACAGTACCCACTGTGGCCCTTCAGGCATAACGAAAGAGAGGTGGGGTACATGACAATAAAATTAACCAATTACTGACTACTGACCAATTTGTGGCTAACTAGTTCCCAAAGCCCCTCCCAGATGGCTAGGGATGCAGTCAATAGTTAAAGAGCTTGCCCAGCACACACAGACTGCAGGCTTCCATCCCCAGCACCAGATGCAGTGGCATACACCTGTAATCCCAGCACTCGAAAAATGGAAGCAGGAGGATCGGAAATTCAAAGCTATCCTTGGTTATGTAGAGTCAGAGACCAGTCTGGGCTAGAAATGGTCTCAAAAAAAGAGAAAAAAGAGCCTCCCGGCCAGGCAGTAGTGATGCACGCCTTTAATCCCAGCACTTGGGAGGCAGAGGCAGGCACAGGAGGATCTTTGTGAGTTCAAGGCCAGCCTGGGCTACAAGAGCTACTTCCAGAACAGCCAGAGCTGAGAGAATCCCTGTCTTGAAATGCAAACAGAGGAGAAGCCATGGATCCGCTGCCGGAGATAGACATACTGGACCTTTGCTGGTAGGCCACGACCTCGTGGTGATACACAGATTGATAGAAATGGGTTCAATCAAGATGTGAGAGTTAGCCAATAAGAGGCTAGAGCTAATGGGCCAGGCAGTGATTTAATTGATACAGTTTCTGTGTGGTTATTTCGGGGCGACTGGGACAAACAAGTGGGCCCTCTCCCCTTACAGCAATTGGCACTCCAACGTGGTCAACTAACTCCACGTAAAACCTGAGAAGGCTTGAAAAAGGAATTGTAGACTAAAAAAAGAAAATAGAAAAAAAGAAAAAGAAACGAAAAAGAGAAGAAAAAGAGCCTCCCAGTGAGTTACAAGACGGTAGCTGTGCCAAAACGTCCCGAGTCACGCGTAGACCCGCACCCCAGTACCGTTTTCCCAGCTCTGTCATAGGGACAACAGTCACTTGTCCTCCCTCAGGTCTGGCATCGTCTCTATAAAGTAAGACTGAGGTATGTAAAAACGCCTCCAAGCAGGCGATGAATTAGATAGAAAGCTTTGTGAAGAGGGTCGTCTTCAACCACAACAAACCCAGAAAATATTTTAGATTACTGTATCCAGCATGGTCTAGGCACTATATCAGAAACAGTGCATCTAATCTTCACAAGTACCCTGGAACTGAACACCACTATAATCTGCAATTTAAGGATGAGAAAGCTAGGCAATGGTTACCCATGATTGCAATCGCAACACTTAGAAGTTGGAGTAAGAATTATGAGTTCAAGGCCAGACTGATCCTGTCTCAAAAACCAAACAAAATAAAAGCTGAAGATATAACTTAGCTGGTAGTTCTGCTTAGCAGGCACAAAGTGCTAGGTTCAGTCCTTAGCACCTCATCATAAACAGGGCATGGTGGCACACACACCTATAATCCTAACACTTGAGGGGTTGAGGCAGGAGGATCACAGCATGTCATGTTACATAACAAGTTGACAGTCAGCCTGGGCTACATGAGACCCTGTCTAAAGAAACCAAAATGAAATAATAAAACAAGGATGGTCAAATAAAGGTAGAGAAAGGTAAGTGATTGACTCCCCAAATCACATAGTTAGAAAGCAGCAGTGCTGGGATTTGAACCCAGGCAACCTTGCTATATCTAGGTTCTTTAATCAACCTTGTGAAAACAAGGTTGCCACAGATTTAGCAATAAGCATTCAAAGACTCTTCTCTGGGTATGTCTTTTCTTTGAGATAGGGTTTCTGCCTTTAAGAAATACTTGATGCATGCAGATGTTTTGCCTGCATGAATATCTGTGCACCACAAACATAGCTAGTGCTTTTGGAGGTGAAGAGGGCATCAAATCCTCTGAAAATGGAGCTACAAACGGTTGTGAGTGCTATGTGGGTGCTAGGACTCAAACCTGGGTCCTGTCGAAGAGCAGGCAGTACTCTAAACTGTTGAGCCCCATCTCTTAAGCCCCCTAAAATAGTTTCTTTTTTGAAATATTTATTCATTATGTATACACTGCTCTACCTGCATGGCATAAGAGGGCACCCGATCTCATTGTGAGTCACCATGTGGGTGCTGGGACTTGAACTCAGGCTCTCTGGAAGAGCAGCCATTGCTCTTAACCTCTAAGCCATCTCTCAGGTCCCAGAAATAGTTTCTTTTTGTAGTCCTCAAACCCTGCTTCAGCCTCCTGAGTGCTGGGTTTGCAGGTATATGCCACCATGTCTGGTCTCAGGTATATTTTCAGTTTTCCCAGCATCCCCCTTATTCCCAGTTTTGACACATGGAAGCCAAAGTGGAGGGAGTTCCAAGAATATTCGCAAAGTGACAATAGTTCCTGCTCTTTACAGACCACCTCTCTCCTTCCGTCTCCCTCTCCCACTTCCCCAGGAGCTATGCTGGACTGGGGGCTCACCTGAAAAGTGGCAGCTGGCAGGTTGGAGATGGCAACATACTGGAGGTTATTCTGCAAGGTATAGATGAGAGAGGGCACCGCAAGCTTGAGTGTGTCCACATATTGCACCAGGACAGCCTCATGGAGGAAGAGAACCAGGTGCTTCACATTACCTATGTGGGAAGAGGGTCTGCTGAGGATTGGGACCAGGCTTGGCCCCTTTGCTCACCTCCCAGTCCTGCCTTCCCTCACCGCCGAACTACTCTCCTGCTCCTAGCAGCTCAGTTTCTTCTACAGTAGCACAGCAATGCTAATAAGAACTTTTTCTGAGTTTGGCCTGGTGGCATACACCTTTTATCCCCACACCTGGGAGATGGAGGCAGGTGGATCTGGTTAGTTTGAGGCCAGTGCCAGACCAGCAAGGACTACATAATGAGATTATGTCTTTTTTTTAAAAAAGCCTTTCTGATACAGAACTTAATGGCTGCAAAGGGGAATGGTGATATAGTTTCGGGGTTGGGCGCTTGCCTAGCAGATGTGTGTGTGTCCCCAGGTTCTACCCCAACACTGTAAGAAAAGAAGACTAATGGTTACAAAACTATTACCTATCCCACTATGCCTGCTATCAACCACAGTCTACCCACCTTGAGAGCTACCTCCCTGGCATGAGCCCATTCAGGGCAAACACTTGACATGTCTGTACAATGAAACAATCACCAGTAACTAGAAGCATGTGACATAGAGCTTCTTGGTTCCTGAGCAGGGGTATACAACTATCTCTCAGAAGGGAGGTTTTAGATTTGTTTTGTGGTTCGTCCAGGGCCTCACACACCACTGAGCTACACATCCAACCCAAGGCTTTTAAACATCCTAGTTCCTTAATGGTCCATGAGCCACTTGAGGACAGAGTCCATTTCCCATCAAACAAATCTTTTTCTCAGCCCTAAGACACATTAAGCTGCCCCTGCTCTATGGATGAATGCAGCCCTTTTTCCTTTCTTCTCAAAACAGAGTCTCTCTATGGAGCCTGGGCTGGCCTCAAATTCTCCTCCATCCTTCTGCCCTAGCTTCTTGAGTAGCACCAGCATGCACCAGTTGAATGTAATCCTTTTTCGTTTTTTGTTTTTTTGAGACATGGTCTCACGTTGTAGCCAAGACTGGTCTTCAACTCAGAGATCCACCTTGCCTGTCTCCCAAGTGCTGTGATTAAAGGCATTCGCCACCACGCCAGTTCTTGACCATTAAATAGAAGACTGGTTGAGAATTTCTACAATTAACTGAGTATCATTTCCTATGTAATAAAGTCTATGTGAAGCTCACCACATTTGTTTTTTGAGGCAGGGTTTCTCTGTAGTTTTGGAGCCTGTCCTGGAACTAGCTCTTGTAGACCAGGCTGGTCTTGAACCCACAGAGATCCACCTGCCTCTGATTCCCAAGTGCTGGGATTAAAGGGGTACATCGCCACTGCCCAGCATTTTACCCATGAAGCCATCTTCCCCGCCCCTATTGTTTTGGTTTTTGCATGCACATGTGTGTATGTGTGTGTTACTGGGGATTGAACCTGCAGCCCTAAACAAGCTAGGCAAGTGTTCTACAGCTGGGCTACATTTCCAGTCCTTTTATATGTATTATGTGTGATGTATGCATTTGAGTGTGGGCCTGGCATTCCATGGTGTGGAGGTCCAAGGACAACTTAGAGGCTAAAGTCAGTTCTCTCCTTCCATCATGGGTCCTGGGAATAGAGCTCAGGCTGTCAGGACTGCATGGCAAGAGCTTTTATCTTACCTGCTAAGCTATCTTGTCAGTACTATGTTTTATTTTGAGACTGGGTCTTACAAAGTTGATTAGGCTAGTATTGAACTTATGATTTCCCTGCCTCAGCTTCTCAAGCAGCTGAGATTACAGACCTGCACCATCAGGTCCGGCTTTGCTTTTTTGTTCACTGCTGGCTTGGGGGTTTTGTTTGTTTTGTTTTGAGACAGGATCTTTTTTTCTTTTTGGTTTTTCGAGACAGGGTTTCTCTTTGGAGCCTGTCCTGGAACTAGCTGTTGTAGCCCAGGCTGGCCTCGAACTCACAGAGATCCGCCCGCCTCTGCCTCCTGAGTGCTGGGATTAAAGGCATGCGCCACTACTGTCTGGCTTTGAGACAGGATCTTGCTTCAGCCTAGGAAGACCTGGAATTTATGATCCTCCTGCCTCAGATGACAGGTATGAACCACCATACCTAGCTTTATTGTTATTTTATCATGTATGATTCTTATTATGCTTGTTTTAGATAGAATTTCAGATAACTCAAGCTATCCCTGAACTTTCACTACCTAGTCAAAGATGACCTTGAACTTCTGATCCTTCTGCCTTAGATTATAGGCATTTATCATAACTGTTTTATGTGGTGCTGGAGATCAAACCCAGAGCTTTATATATGCTAGGCAAGCACTCTATCAACTAAGCTACACCAACTCTAGGTATTATAATTCCACTTATTGCTTGATTTCTTGTTTTGCAGCTAGCCTTGAATTCATGGAATTAACTGATGCTGTGCCTTAGTATGCTGACCAGCTGCGGTTACAAGTGCAGATATGTAAAAGATCAGCAGTTAGCAGCTAGCTTTATGACAGGGTGGCCAAGAGTTGAGAGTTGTGAGCCTGGATAATGTGTGGAAGGATAGCTTTACTATTTTAGTATTCTTTCTGTCTCTGTGTGTGTGTGTGTAGTGGAATTCTCCATATTGCAAAGCTTCTCTCTCTCTCTCTCTCTCTCTCTCTCTCTTAGACAGAATTCACTGTTATCTTGAGCTCCTCACCATCCTGCCTCCACCTTCCAAATGCTGTTACTAGAGGCATGTGCCACCACACTTGGCTTCCACAGGATAAAGTTAAATCTTTGATTCACTGTTGAGTGTTCTGTTGCCTTTTGGGCAGACTATGTCACTACTGCAGTCCCCAGGTTTAAGGGACATACAAGTGCCAAGGCAACTTTGCACAGCTGGAGTGGCAAGGAAGCTTAGATGGCACTTACATACTCCGCAAGCAGTTTCGGATTCTCCCAGAAAACAAGCCTCCCCGGCATGCTTACACACAGGGAGTCAGATCAACCAACCAGCCCCTTCCCTGACTCATACCCCTCTTCTGTGCGAAGAGCAGCAGGAGACAGGTGACACCTTTGAGTACTTCAGCCATGACTACAGCGGTGGTGGCAAAGAAGCGGTCCCCAGGCAGTGTGCGAGCATATCGGATGCTAAGGATGAGGGAGGCGTTCTGGACCACCAGCACAGCTAAGGATATGTATTTGAGGCGCCGGTGAGCTGCAGGGAGTGGAAGGGACATAGAAGGATGGGGTCAGAAGCTGTCAGGTTTAGCCACCCACCTCCCCCCTCTTCTCAATCAAAACCCTCCCAGCCACTGGAACTTCCTCTGCCTGCCCTTCCTGACTGAACTGAGAATCTGATTCCCTACCTGTTTCCACACCCTCAGTTGCCGGCAAGTGTCAGACAGGGTCCCATTCTGGCCAGTTCTTACTGTGAAATCCCTGGTAAGGTGTGAGGAAATGGCCTGGGCAGGCCCTGGACACACATACCCACTTCTTCCTCCCCAGGGAAGCAGCTCTTTCCCAGACAGCATTGCCCATATTTACTAAATGTGTGCAGCATGCCTATCACTGAGCTAAGAGGGATTCACATGGATTCTCATCCAGCATTTGGTCTTTGAAGGTACTTCGAAACATCCCATTTTGTGGATGAGCAAATTGAGGATTTCTATGAAGTGATGTTTCTACTTGCAGGACTGTCCCATAGATGAAATAATATCAGAATATAATGAATGGGGCAATTGTTTAAAGTGTCCACTTCCTAAGGACTGTCCTACTTTCCTATCTCCTACAATGGTTACCCAACAGTCTGATTACCTTAATCACATACGGAAATACTTCCCTACTGCCATACACCCTCCTCCCAGTCAAAGAATAATTCTTTGTTCTGCCCACACTGACAATGAGCTCTCTCTGCTATATAGGACTTGGCACCCTCAGAATGTTCTTTCCCTGACCTATAAGGAAGGAACCCTCCCACCTCAACATAAATAGAACTATCTCCATTTGGATGGGACAGACCCAGAACATACTCTCCATGTAATGAAGGGCAGGTTCATACTCAAAATGGATTCACTAGTCATACAAGGATGTGCCCCACCCTGACAATTTATAAGGTCCCTTTATAAGGAAGAAGCCACCACCCTAGGAATCGTCTCTCTCCCTTCTATAAGGAAAAACTCCGACCCCAGAATCTGTCTCTCCCTTCTGCAATTAAAGATTGCCCACAGCCCCGGAACATTCTCAGTGGTCTTAGCCTCCTCAAAAGGAAATTTCCCCACACATTCATAACGGTCTTTATTTCCAAGTCCAGGGCCCCCGTCACAAACACCCACAAAACGACCGATTCCTACCTGCAACCTACAATGGTCCGTTCTCTCCTCCCTTCTTCCGACAACACACACACACACACACACCACACACGTCGGTCCGTTCACACGGGATGCCGCTGTCACTTCAGTCAAGGATCATTCCACCCCCAAGGTTCCCGAACTCCGCCCAGCCAATTGCTCTCTGCCTGAGGTCATCTCACCCGCTGTAGCGGACCCAGACTCCAGCATGCCCGCGGACACGGCCCCTGGTCCGGCCGCCGGGGATGATCCGCCAACCCCAACCGCTGCCATGTTGGCATCTGCCCGTCCCGTCCCCTCGGCAACAGCAGGCTACTTCCGTATCCATCACGTCCGCTTCCGGACCTCCGGCGTGGAGGGCGGGGCATTAGCTGGGATTGAGAAGTGGTGTTCTTAGCCCGGTCCAAGCCTGATTCTAAAATGGTGGTTTCGGACTTCCCAGATTCCATCAGCTGGAGACCCAGGACGCCGGAGACCCGTCTCCCGCAGCCTTTACACATCTATTGGCACTCTAGACCACTAGACCCGGCCCACACCTCCCGTTTGCCCGCCTCACTGACCCCGACTGTCCGAACCACCTCCCCAAACCGTCCCGCGGTTTCATTGGTTCCGTTGTTCTTCCATCTCCGCTTTTATTGGAACCTTCAGATGGCACCACCCTCCTCGCATCAGAAACACAGTTCTATTCCCACCACCCAGCCAGGTCCCGCCCTCTAAGGCCCAGAGGCCAACTGGGAGGAATCGGACTTTCGAGAAGGCGGGACAAGTGAGTCATAGGCCTACCGCTAGGTTCACAGACTTCATTGCTGAACCAGAGTAGGGAAGGCTTAGTCACCATAATAGAGGAAAATGAGAAGCAGGTTCAGGACAACTGACGTCGGGATTAGAGAGACCAAGGGAGGTGAGTTGAGGAAGATGCAAAGGAGCAGCATGAAAGGCAAAGACAAAATTAAGATTTAAATCAAGTTAAGAGCTACACAGAAAGTGCTAGAGAAATTTCAGTTGGAGCCTGGGATTTATTTTTGTGCAAGTAAATCCCAGCACTCCAAGTTTGAGGCTAGCTTGGGCTTCAAAAAGACCCCATCTAAAAACAAAACAAAAACGGTCAGACTGGCCCACTCTCTGACTTGGTTTTTCTTCAGAGATTTTTCTCCAGCCATCTAAACTCAACAGGCAGTAGATGCTCCACTAATGCCTACCTCTATAAATGGCCATTCATTCGTGACTTCATTATTTATTAAATAGGTTTCCACACATGGCTTTTTAAATAATCCAGGCAGGGGGAGAAGGGACAGGAGGGCACACCTGCAGCTCTCCTACCTCCAGTACAGAATTATTTACACTTTACCACTGGACAATCCTGGCTCAGGAGGAGGCAGCAAAAGTTGGAGAGGGGGGACCCCAGGAGAACAAACAGTAGACTTATTTCCTCCATCCCATCCCCCCAAAACCATCCATCCCATCCTAGTCTCTGGTGGTGTCTGATGATGTCCATCTCCCATTCCTTCCCAAATTATGGAAGTAAGGTTCTTCTCACCAGAATAAGAGCACTTGGGATAACAATAGGGTCCCCTCACCAAAAAATAAAATAAAATAAAAATTAAAAAAGCACTGGGATACTAATTAATAGGGCTTAATAGGGTGTTACCTCCCCCAGAATAATCATTTCTGGGCTAAGGCAGGCAAGCAGCAACTGAATTGAGATCCCAGGGTAAGGGCCCTTTTACTAAAGAGCTGCTGGGGTATTTAAGGAAAGCACCCTTGCCCGAGTGAGAGCATTTGAACTAAGTGTCTAAGTTTGTGGTAGTAGTATAGGAGGTGCCAGTGTAGGGACTACAATGTCATAATAAGAATCATAGGGCCTAGAAGGGAAGGAATCCAACCAAATAAACATCCTTAACAGAACAAGAAACAAGTAACTCCCCCCTCCCAAATAAGGGACCACAGGTTCCGGGAGGAGAGCTCCTTCACAGGATTGGGATAGGAACTGGGCAGACTTGGCTATCTTCTGACCCCTGATCCTTATTCCCTGACCTTAGTAATACTGGATTTTTAACAACCTGTATAACCAGGTCAACAGATGTCCATCTATCCCTGTAGCATGACCATGGGATTCCAACCAGAGAGCCTGGCTGGGCCTAGGGAAGCAGGGACCAGGGTAAGGGGGCGGGGCTTCCTTTGGAGGGATTGATGGGCGCTTCTTCAGCTGGTGTTTGCATCCAGGGGTCCAGCAGAATCTCCTCCAGTGAAGGTCGGGAGCAGGGTTTAGGGGCCAGGCACCGGCGGATTAGGGCACAGCAATCTGTGGGGTCAAGAAGCACAAGGGAGATTAGCAGTCAGCAAAGGGTACCCAGTCCTGGGAGGAAGGAAGCCTGTGGGGTCAGTGAGGGCCTCACCTGGGGAGACATGAGCAGGAAAGTGGAGCTCAGCCTCCAGAATCTCCTGGTCTCTCTCGAAGGGAATGTCCCCACAGACCATGTCATAGAGGAGGACACCCAGTGACCAGACAGTAGCTGGGAGGGCATGGTACTGGTGTCGAGAGATCCACTCTGGAGGGCTATACACCCTTGTCCCTGCACACAAGCCAAGAATTAGATCTTTTCCCTGATGGTGCCCTTTGTCAAACCCTGTGTCCCTAGAAGTATGAACTGTAAATTAAAGGAGAGTATCCACTTGCTGGAGAGTACTGCTTCAAATTTAACAGTAGAGTCATGTCAGCAGCAAAACAGCTTAAAAAGAGCATTTCCAAGTTTAACACTAAGACTGTCTTATCAGAAGCAAAACAAACAAAAAACCCAACAACAAAAACCAACACCAACAAGATCCTCACACTAAAAAATAAGAGCCCAGAAGGTTAAGAAACTGTAACTGGGCTTGAAAATCAAGAACCTTAAAGGGTACAATTTAGGTCAAAGGTTACAAGGACAATCCAATAGTAAAGTTCAAAAGCCAGAAGAATTAAAGACTAAAAACAGCCCCCCCCGCATAAATTGTAGGGAAGAATCCTTACCATCAAAGTCCGTGTATGGTTCATCATGCAGCAGGGCGCCAGAACCAAAATCAATGAGTTTAATACAACCCCGGCACAGGTCTATCAGGATGTTCTCATCCTTGATATCACGATGGACAACTCCGCGAGCATGGCAGTGCTGGACAGCTGCCACTACTTGGGTAAAGAAGCTGCGGCTACGGCTTTCACCCAGTGGGCCCTTCTCTGTGATGTAGTCAAAAAGATCCTGGGCAGGCATAGGCCGTTCAAGGACCAGCATGAAGCCCTCTGGGGTCTCAAACCAGTCAAGCAGGCGTATCACACCTGGATGCCCGTTGCCTTCACCCACCTTCCACAGCAGTGCTACCTCAAGTGGGCAAGTGACTGAGTCTGACTGGGGTGGGAAGTGAAAAGAAAAAAAAAAAAAGAAGGTAGATGGTAAGTCTGAGCCCTACTGTCAATATAGCAGTTTATTTTCAGAGCACTGATTTTTGACCTTTGGAAGTCATCTCCCTTTCCAGTAGCCTTTCAAAGGCTCAAATCCATCCGAGTGAAATGAGCAGAAGCCATATACATCTGGCATGTAGCAGCTCAGTAAATATTTGAATAAGTTGAAATGTTTTCTTTCTTGGGGGGGGAATGGGATTTGAGACAGGATCTCTACATAGACCAAGCTGGCCTGGAACTCAAGAGATTCACCTGCCTTTACCTCCAGAGTGCTGGGATTAAAGTGTGCACCACCATGCCTGGCCTTCAAACTTAAAATTTAAGTCCCTCTGCATAAGAACAATCATGGGATATATTTACCTGCCTTATTAGCCAACATCCAGATCAGGGCAGTTTTTATGCACACTAGATAATTCTATGAATGTTTCTAAATGGAAGTACTTTACAGGAAAGAGAGGCTAGCACTGAAAAGTAGTTAAATACTATTATTGTATAATTGTTGAAGGACTCAATATGCTAGATGGACAGAGCAGTTAGTAGAAGAGATCTAGCACCTACTGAATTCGAATAAATGTCGTACTTTGCAAAGTGCCTATAATTATGTCACTGCATAGATGTCCTCTGGCTTTTAAATTTTGTCTCATTTTTGAGACAGGATCTTGCCATGTAGCCCATGCTGGCCTCAAGTTCACGGAAATCGCTGGGCGGTCATGTTGCACGCCTTTAATCCCAGCACTCGGGAGGCAGAGGCAGGCATATCTCTGTGAGTTCGAGGCCAGCTTGGTCTATAAGAGCTAGTTCCAGGACAGGCACCAAAAACTACAGAGAAACCCTGTCTCGAAAATCAAAAAAGAAAAAAGAAAAAAAATCCACGGAAATCCTAGTGTCACAGCCTTTTGAATGTTGGGATTACAGGTGTGCACCACCAATCCTGGTTTTCATTTGTTAAAAACAGCTTACAGTGATTAACTGCAAAGGACTGAAAAATTAACTGGCACAGAGCAAACATTCAATGAACGCGATGTTTTGTCAGTCTTACTAATCAGTTCAACTAGAACAACTCAATAACACCCCGCCCCCCCGACAACTAAACAGGCAATGCCAAGGGTCTTGTTGCCTCAGGTGAGGCCCATTACAGGCCCACTAACTTGCACAGTCGCAGACAGGTTTTCTCACGAAGACGCAAATTCTTCGGCTACTGCGCAGGCTCGCCCTCCCTTCTCCGTCCCAGGGCCGGCATAGACTGTCTGAAATGCCCGCCAGGGGGAGCTCTTTTACATACAATTTGCCCAGACCCGCCCTGATGTCCGTTAGCTTTCTCGGGGTGGCAGAGGCAGCAGCCAGCATCACCATGACAACCAGTGACCTAGGCCCCTCCTTCCCCACCAGCATGTCTTGTGAACAGCCCCAGAAGCAGTGTTTGGAAGAAAGATGCGAAAGGAGAGTTTGAGAGGAGAATCCAGAGCTCTGGGCAAATTGAGGTGAAATCAGAACTATCACATAAAGGCAGTAAACATAGGTTGGTGAGGTTCTCACGGTTTCAAGGCCCAGGGAATACATCCCCTAGAAAAAATCAGGGGGTGAGTTCGGTGATGGAGTCCACGGGTCATGACGCACACCAAAGACACTCACCACGGTGGACCAGCCTAGCACACGGTTCCGGGAGATTACTTTGATGGCCACCTAGAAAAAATACTGAGATAAGGGGGCCAGCCGGTGATCCCAGACTCTTCTCAGTCTAGACCCTCTGCCCAATTCCAGTCTCTCCACGCTAGTAGTTCTAGTTCCCATACGTATCACACCCACTGGAGCTTGGATACCTATCCAGCAATCTGAAGGCCCCAGAATCGTGTTCACTCCATCCATCTAGCATCTTTACTCCTGAGCTCTTGTCGGGAAAGCATCAAGACCCCCTGAAATCCATAATGGAGCTGTATTTTTTTCTTTTGTTTTCTCTTTCCCACTGTCTCCCTACACCCCCCCACCCTGTGACGCTGGTGTTGAACTCAGTGTTTGTGGATGATGGACAAACGACCCACCATTGACCCATATCCCTACATTCAAATTCTAAGTTTTTTGACATCGCAAGCCCTCCTCCATAATTCTACCCATCTCCAGGACACAACAACTATGTATCTGAATTCTTGTTTTCACGACTCCACTCTTAACACCTACTCAAAAAAAAAAACCCCACTTCCCCCACCACACACACACACACACACACGTACACACGCGCGCGCGCACACACACACAAACACACACGCACGAACGCACGCACGCAAATACCATGGATCTTGGGGTCCAGTCCTGAAGATCTGCCCCCTTCCCAGTAGAAATACCCGGTCTTCCAGAATTCCTGCCCACCCCCATACCCACCTGGACTGCAGACACGCGCGCGCACTCACACATTCACACACACACACACACACAGAGCAACCCTCCTCCTTATGATTCTACTACACATTTGCAAGCTCCCCACTGGAACAAGTGGCATCTCCGTTCCCCCCCTTTCCCAAAACACCTGACCCTCCCAGAACCCCTCTAGGGGATACCTGACGTCTATCCGTGACGCGGTGTCCCGCGAAGACGGTGCCAAAGCCTCCCTTACCCAGGAGGGGGCCAAGTCTGTATTCGGCCTCGAAAGCTGCCCGATTCTTGCCACCTACGCAAGCGGAGGCGAGGAAATCAGGGTGGCGGTGTACTCTGATCCCAGCCGTGACTTTCGCCCCCACACCGCCACCCATCATTCCAGTCCGCCCAACCTGCTTGTGACAGGGGACCTTGCGCTCACCTGGAGGCTGCGTGGGGGTTACAGGGGGCGAAGGAAGCCCCTGCAGAGGCTTGGTCAACATGGAGGAGGAGCTGCGTAGATTGAGCCCGCTGAATCCGCTGAGCCCGCAGGGCGTGGATGCCCGGGGCAGAGCGGCCGGAGAGCCAGGGCTGGGGGGCGCCAGGGTGGAAGGTAGGGAATCTGGTGGCCCGGAAGCGCCCGCAGACGGCGCGGCGTTAAGATTCGTCGCGCGCGCCAGCCCCAACGCTACTGAGCCGGGGCACGCGCCTCCCGGAGAGTCGCCCTGCGCGACAGCCCCGCCCACCTGGCTTTGATCAATCCGGACACGGCACCTGCTGTACCCCGGCCAATCGGAGCCAGTCCTTATTTGCATGCCACCATCAACGTTTCAAGTGTCCCTTATGCAAATACATGCCAGGTTCTTCCGCGGAGGCGGGGTCTGTATGCAAATGTGGGGGCGGGGGCGGCCGCGCGCGCGCACAGACACACAGACACACGCACTCGTGCACACGCACTCACGCACGCTCGAACAGGTTTTGGGAATCCCTTTGCGACAACCCCGTTTGTTTTGGTTGTTAGTGTGGTGGGGTGTGCGTACACACTTAAAAAAAAAAAAAGGGCAGCCTCCTTTCCTAGGATGCAGGTTTGCTGCCGCTGTCGCTTTTGCAGCCTTGGATCGGTGAGTAGACAACGCCAAACCAGCTTTTAAGAATCAAAGCCTGACCGGGAGGTTGTGGCGCACGACTTTAATCCCAGCACTCGAGAGGCAGAGGCAGGCGGATCTCTGTGAGTTTGAGACCCGCCTGGTCTACAAGAGCGAGTTTTGGGACAGTCAGGACTTGTTATCTCCGAAAACAAACAAAAAAAACCTAACAACAACAACAAATCAGAACCTGGAGCTAGGCAGGATCCTATGATGCAAGGGTGTTTCTCACCCAAGCTCTGACATCCTTTGCTTCAAAACTGTAACCAGGCCCTTATAGAAGAACTGGTCTATTATTCCATTATTCAGCGAAGGAAACATTATCAGCACCATGACTCGGAAGGGGAGCAGGGCCGTCAATGGCAGTTTGGCCCCTGTAGGGTGATTTTTTAAATCGCCATTATCCTACACAAACCTGCCTAGACTTAGCACTGGACCCAGTCAGGGGGTCTAGAATCTATAATGACAAGGCTTGGTTCTTGTGGGAACTACAACTTCCCTTGTTAAAGAGGTGGGATCTGAAAGGCTGAAGAAGTGAACAGCCATGTCTGTGTAAATATCCAGAGGGCCTCATGTCCAGGAAGACAGCCATACAACTCCAAAAATACATGGCAAGCTAGGCGATGTAGAGTACATGTGAAATTCAAGTCCTCTGTATGCTGAGTCACAGGAGGACCACCATCAATCGGCAGTCAGACTAGGGAACATAGTGAGAATGTGACTTAAAACCAAAAGCACTGCAGGTGAGATGACTCAGAGGGAAAGGGTATTTGCTACCCAAGTCTGCCAACCTGTTATGCGATCCCTACAAGTTGTTTTCTGACCTCCAGTTGTGTATGGAAGTCACATACCCACACACAGACATACAGAGGGAGGGAGAACCACCATGAAAGATAACAGTCAGATACATTCAGGCAGACTTGTTCTAGACCTAGATGCACATGAAGATACACCCAGAAAATAACATCCCAGAAACACGGTGATAAGACTTTACTTGTACTGTCCCATGGGACCACTGTCCCACCAGAAACTGACAAACCTGTTGCAAGCACACCACTACCACCAGATACCCACATTTACATACATAAAGACTGCCCCAGAAATGAGGGACCCAGATTCTGTCACGAGAATATACACAGATGTTACACACGTAAGCGCACGTGCACACACACACACACACAGCTCCAGAGCAGGCATGTAGTGATCTGAGCACTACATAGATAAGCAATGTCACAAAAATAGATCCAATCACATACACACTATCAGATAACGCAGTCTTATCACTGAAAGTATCCAGACAAACTACAGATGCACTGGCACTGACAGACCCACGCAAACATGCACTTCTCTCAGATACCAGACACAAACTGTCATAGGCAGAGTCCCACACTCAGTCACCATCTGACACACCTGGAAACAAGCCCTTATTGGACACAGACACATACACTCAGTCAGAGACACTGAAATACACAGAAACTGGTAGATTCACTGTGGCAATAGGACAGACAATACACACAAAGCACAACAGTTACATGTCATTTCCCTTAACTCATCCAACATTACTAGGTGTTTTACTGTGAGCCCGACAGGCTTTAGTGCAGGGGTAAATCTTAAGACACACACAAACAAGATAAGTAAGCATCACAGCCCCAGCCCAGAAGTTTATTTATAGTACAGTTATTGGGGATAGTTGTAGACAGAAGTGAGAATGTGAATGAGATCGATCACACAGGGGTTTCTCAGGTGACCCCTCTGTCTTAAAAGACAATAAGGTTGGTAGCTGAAGATAGGATTAGGGCAAATTGCAAGAAAAAGCCAAGAGTAGCAAGAGGCAGGCTGAGGCCAAATGGTACAAACTTACAAAATACGATAATACCCCCACCCCTAAGTCTGTTAATAACCCCAACATTTGTGCTCTAAGAATGTACCAGGTACTGTTCCCAGTAGTACATTATTGACCATACACATTCTCTGTCAATACTCACAAATCAGAGAGCATGAGGTAGCAGACATTAATCACCCCTGTAGTTGCAGATGGGGCACTTTAAACTCAAAGAGAGCCCAAAGTCACACAGCTAGAAAATGCAGATAGATTTGAAATCAACCCCCTCGGCGTGCTCATGCTTGACCATGTATTTCAGATACTCTGCAGCCGCCCACTGGGCAAACCACACCCTCACCTGTGGGGCTACCACACACAGCCTTCTGCAAGGACCCCACTGAGGCATGGTGGGGAGAATACTGTTTTGAGAAAATCTGAGGGTCAGCCAGCCTTCTCAACCTGGGCTTTACAAACCCTAGGAGGGATGGACAGAGGTGTCAACAGAATTTGGAAACAAACAACAATAAAAAAGGATTTAGCCACTTCATTCTCCAGCTTATAAAACCCAGTCAGGCAGGGGCCACCTCTGGCCACTTTCACTAAACTCATGTAGCTTGTTATCAACTGTTTTATTTCTTCATCAGGTTATCACAAAAATGAACATTAAGGTTGAGAGTGGAAATTCAGACAAAATTCAGTATGGCCTTTAGCCCAAACACAGTGCATAATTATCCCTTGGCTCCCATTTAGAAATATGGTTAGGTGGGAGTAAGGGCTTCAAAGTAGATTTGCTACTGAGGAAGTTTATGATTTTTGAGAAAAGCATCTCATTGTGTAGCCCGGCCGGCCTGCAACTCTACTATGTAGATCAGGCTGGCCTGAAAGTCATAGATCCACCTGCCTCTGCCTCCCCAGTGCTGGGTTCAAAGGCGTGACCCAGTTCTAGAAGAGGTTTCTTGTTGCTGGTTCTGTTAAACAGAATCCTGGTTATGTGGCCCAGGTTAGTTTCAACTGCCTAGGCTCTACATACAATGCACCTGGCAAGGAAGTTAATTTAATAAACAGATCAAAGATGAACCCCAGCCTACAGACAGCACCAACTGGAGAACAAGTAGAACTCAGGGCAAGCCAAACTCTGTGCTTCCCAGAGGCCCATCCACCCCTGCCCCATACAGAACAGAGTAGCTCAGGGAAACTGACATTTGGTTTTATTGTGCCAAGGACATTACAGACGGTGGATCTTGTCAACACCTGCAGGGCACGGGCGCCCCACCTGTGGAGGCTGCTCCCACTCCCTAAACTCAAATCTTGGGTAGCGGCCATGATCTCCAAAGATACCCCCACCTCAAGAGTCCAAACAGACTAGTGGTGGAAGCAAAAGGAATGCAGCAAGGTCAGGGTTCATTGTCCAAAGCCAGTCTGCCACCTGCAACCCTGCCACCTTCCTCTGAATCATATCCTTGACCCCTCCAAGGAGCTGGAGGCCAGAAGACAGCAGAAAATCATCTCTTTGCCTGCCCACCATGCCCCATGGCCAGCTTGACTGTCTCCAAACCGGAGATACCATTGTCAAGGAGCCAGTGTTGCCACGGACATAATTCTTGATTTTATAAGATAAAAGTACATTTCATAAAAGAAAATTTAATATGGAAGGCTCAGATTCTTGGGGTACTAGGAAGGAAAATTTCCCACTCCCGCCTGTCCTGTCACCACTGTGGCAGAGGCGCGACGTTTCTCTGATCTGTAAAGAAGGGTGAGCAGAAGACTCCCTTTGTCTCAGTGTCTCTCTTTTCGGGGGCTGCCTGGCTGCCGCATGGTCTGTCTCTGTGCCTCTCGCCTACCTTTGGCACCCTTTTCAGAGTCCCCTGTGGAATGCTGAGATGGTGCTGTGCAGGGGGGCAACAGGGCACATCAGCTGGCAGAGACCAGTGTGGTGGTGGCAGGGATGAGATGGATGGAGCGCATAGGTGGGCCAGCCAGAGGGAAGTGGAAAAGGAAAAGAGGAAACGAACGGAGGAAGCCAAGAGGGAAAAAAGCCAAAGAAGGCTGGGTGGCATCAAAGGGCAGGAGTGGAGGGGTCAGGTGATTGTGTCCAGTCCCTGGGTCTCCATCAACTCTTGTCTGGGGGTGGGTCTCTGTGCACTTTGTTTTTCTTCATACTGTCTAGGTATTCCTGTTGGGACACTGCCAGCACCGATGCTAAGATCTCGTCATCATCCCAATCGTTCAGACCTGCTGGGCAGGAGAGAGAAGAGGACAACGATGACTGGGGTCCTCAGCCCATTCTCCCTCATGCCTGTCTAATCCCTGGCTCTGGAAAATCCACCCAGGTCCCAATCACTCATTGGCTCCCTTAACTCTGTGAAACCCCACTGGACCCCTGTGGAGAAAACCTTTTGGGCCTGAAATTTTCCCTCATGCCTCTGATTTGGGAAGATGCTCAGGAGCTTCAAAAATCCTCCAGGCTCCCCCAGCTTCCAGCTGGCCCATCCCCTAAGGAAGCTTACCAAAGGCAGAGGGGGACATCTGCTGGATGAGGGCCCGGCACTCCAGAGCAGGGTAGAGGGACACTAGGGGAGATGTGGCCCGGTCAGCCCCTGATGAGAACTGACTGCTTGTACCTGAGGCAGATGAACAGTCTGAGGTAGGGCCCACCAAGCAGAGCCTCTTAGCCCAAGCAGGCACCCTGAAAGCAAGTCACTGACCTGGTGCACAGGGTGAAGGAGGTTTGGCAAGAGCTAACACAGTGCCTGGGGAAGGGGGCTTAATGCCTAGCTCAGCATGCAGTTCAGGGTGCTCAGGTGATGAGGCTGAACTTCGTTGCCTTGGAGACCGACTAGTCCATTCCTCCAGGCCACTGGAGGCTGCAGCTGTGGCTGAACTGCATGTGGCACTGGCTTTCCGGGGCTGCAGTAGGGAAGGAAAAGGTGATAAGGACCTACCCCTGCTATGATCCTCCTGTGCCAGAGTGCTTAGACCCCTTCCAGAGTCCTGGCTACAGTACAGCTTTAATGTACCGCAATGGAATAGAGGCAAAGTCCTAACCACTACCAAATCTTTGGAAGCTACTGAGAAACAATCACTACTCTTTTAAGAGATCTTGACTCCACACCACGACCACAGTACCTTCACCATGAACTACCTACTAGGCTTCTCCTCACTGGTCTCCAACTTCTACCCTTGCTTTCTAGCTTAGACTGTTTTACTCAGTAGTTAGGTGATCCTGTTAAGTCCTAACTCACATCCAATCCTTTTTCCTTTTCACTGTTTCTGCTTCATTCAGAGCAAAATCAAAGTCTTCTCCAGAGTTCACAAGCCCCTATCCAACCTAGTCCCACCGCCTAAATTTCACCCAATACATTCTGTTCAGCGCCAGGCTATGCCTGAGTTATACCAAGTATGGCGCCCTCACCTCAGGCTTTGCTCTGTCCACATACCCAACTAACGCAGCCCTTTCTCATCTCACCTGCCGAGGCCTACTCCATTAACTGTTTAATATTGAGAACTCAAACCAGCCCCACTCAAGTCTCATTCTTCCCCTGTACCAACTGTCCATTTTTCATCTACCATACCTCCAGCTAATTTATTCATTATGACTATTTTATTTCACTTTGAAAAACCGAGTAGCCTAAGGACAGGGACTTTGCCTGCTAGGGCCACAAACATATTCTGCTATACTAGGAATAGGACCTCCTGCTTCCTGGCACAGGCCTACAATAAATACTTGCTGAACAGATTATTTAGCTCTTGCAAACATTTAATCATTCCAAAATCCTCCTCAGATGCCTGCCTTCCCCCTCCCCACCCTAATAAGGCAACTGGTTGAAACCACCACCCCTCCTGGTTTTGTACAGCCAGGGTCACTGGCCCCACCAATGCCTTGTCTTCCTCGACAGACAGGATCATTGAAGGCAGTGAAGGAAAAGGTTTTACATCCTCAGTACAGAATGCAGCATGCAAAGGGTTTAAAAAAAAAAAAAGCTGGTCTCTTTGTAGCTACCCATTGTTCCTTTGTGCCACCAGCAGTGGTGGCTGCTCTCCTTTGTCTCTTAAAAGCTGCTCTCCTTTACTTCTTAAAAGCAAGTGCTGAGAGTTCCAAGGTACGATGCCAAGACTAAAGACGAGATGAGTAACCGATGGGGCTGGGAGCTTCCCTCTCCCATATTTTATCCCTGTTCATTAGGGGCCAAAAGATAAGAAGTAACAGGTCTTGGTCAGGCCAGTCACAGAGTCCATGACCCACCTGGCTGGGTCCCCGGACCTGGCGGGCCTGTTTCTCCTGATCCCTCAGCCACTGCAGGTAGGATTCTCGAGCCACCTGCTCCTCTATGGCCTCATTTGTGGCCTCCCAGTCTGTGGCTCGTTTCTTGTCTTCCAACATTTGTTGTTCAATCCATGATTCCTCTGATGTCTTTATGGCATTCTTCATCAAGGACTGTTCTGCAAACTGCCAGGAGAGGAACAGGGATGTGGGGTGATGCTCTGAACCTAGGCAAGAGCCTGAATGGGCTCAGGAAGGTAGGCTTACAGGCCTTAGCAAAAACAACATAAGAAAAGTTATTTTTACAAAGTACTCCTCAGCAGATTGTACAGATTGGTAACTGGAGGAAAGCAGGCCTAGATGATAAGACCTGACATTCTGAATTCCTATGATTAGAAATGCTGGCTCAACCCCAAGACACCTCAAGTGAAGCACTAAGTCTGGGGATTAAAGGGGCTCTTCAGTCTAGGCCTTAATTTAAAGAAGCCTCACCTAGTAACAGCTCTATTTCACAATGCTGAAGCCTTTCTCAAAATTCACAGGACAAAGGAAAGAGATGAACAGAGAAGTGAACTGTACAGACATGGAGTGGAGGCAGGAGTCAAGCATATATGAGGCTGGGTGTGGCTATGTGAGGGATGAAGGGTCAGTATCAGCATGGTGTGGGTGCTAGGACACTGTATGAGAGAACTTCATGCCAAGTTTTAAGATACTACAGCATTATTTATTTGTTTGTTTGTTGAGACAGGGTCTTGCTACATGGCCCAGTCTGATCTTGAACTCACTATGTAGGCCAAGCTGGCCTGGAATTCATGGCAATCCTCCTGCTTCAGCCTCCCAAGTGCTGGGATTACAGGCGTGAGCCACCACATCCAGCGATATGACACTAATGAAATAATAGAGAACATCAAAGTATATTTCAGGAATTAAGTGTAAATACTGCTTCATAAAGTTTTAGTTAATGTTCTTTTTCCCCCAAAACAATAGCTTTGGTATGCAACCCAGATTAGCTTTGAATTCACAATTCTCCTTTCTCTGCCTCTGGAGTACTAGGATTAGAGGCATGTTCCACCATGCCCCTAGCAAGTTTCTCTCCTCTCTCTCTCTCTCTCTCTCTCTCTCTCTCTCACACACACACACACACAAATATATGTATACTAAATAATGATGTACAGCATATTTTTCTGTCATGTAGCATACTAGGGGAAATGTATGTATAGAAATGTTAGATTGAGTCAATTAAAAACTAGGCAGCTATGGTCTGTCTGGCTCAGTGCATACACAAAACATGGATTCAGTCGGGTGGTGGTGGGGCAGACCTTTAACCCCAGCACTCAGGAGGGAGAGGCAGGCGGATCTCTGTGAGCTTGAGGCCAGCCTGGTCTACAGAGTGACTTCTAGGACAGGCTTCAAAATTACAGAGAAACCCTGTATCGAAACACAAAAACAGCAACAAAACATGGATTCAATTCCTAGCACTACAAAATGACAAAAATGAAAGTAGGTAAGCAATCTAACCACAGAGAAAGAGATACAGAGATGGTATGTGGACACGTTAAAAGACACTCAGGCTGGGGTATAGTACTAAAACAGTGTTCAACACATTGTTACCAATTCAAATAAACCTAAAACTTCCAAGAATGGCTAAAATACAAAAAAGCAGTGTTAGGAATTTTTCCTAACACGAGCTCTCTGCTGACGCAAATTCCCAATCAAGCCAAATCAAAACAAGCCAAATTAAAAAATATCCAGGTTTAATGGGAGTCCTGTGCTCTCAGGTGGTCCCAGGGGAAACCGGGAGGCCACAAACAGGACCACCAGGAGGAAGGAAAAAAGACCGCACAGTCCTCTTTTCCTCTTTTCGGAGTTCACTTAAATAATCTGTGGTAGTGGCTCTGGGGTGGGGGGGTGTCAGGACCTGGCCTGCTGGGATTTGGAGTCCAGATCAATACAACTCTCAGGCCTGGGGGCTGGAATAGATAGATGCAAGGGGCTGGAGTCTACGCTCCCAACTTAAGTAGGAAGATCAATTCCTGGGAAAGTGAACTTTCATTCATTGTGATAAACACACAAACACACAAAATCAGTCCACTTCATACAAAGCCTGGCAGTTCCTTACAAATCACAGTATAGTTTTGAAATTCTGAAATCCTGCTTCAAGATTGTAATACAACTAATCATAAAATTTAAGTTCCCACAAAAACCTGCACACAGCAGTTTGCAGAAGCTTTATTAATAATCATCTAAACCTGGAAGCAACCAAGGATATCTTTCAATAGGTGAATGATTAAACAAACTGTGTGCCTCCACAAATGGAACAGTAAGTGATAAGAAAATAGCTAACAAGCCATGAAAAAACATGGACGTTTAATGCATACTGCTACCTGAAAGCAGCATTTTGAAAAGGCTACATACTATGATTCCATTACATGACTTTCTGAAATAGGGAAAAACAGAGTCAATAAAGGATCAGTTGCTGATGGGGAAAGAAAGAGTGGGGAACCTTCAGGGGCTAAAACTATTTGAATGATTAGGTGCCTAAAATAGATGCACTTTGTTGTTATGCATCTGTCAAAACCCAAGGAACTTTACAAAACAAAGACTAATCCTTAATGTATGCTAATCGCTTTTTAAAGATCAGTTAAGAAGTGAGGCGCCCAGTGACAAAAACCATCTTACAAATGTATGCAAGGACAAGCAGGTGGTGGCCTCAGGCATTTAGGAAATGAATAGACTCAGTAACACTAAACATAAAAAGAACTGGGCTTATCACTGGACTCCAGGGGGTCCAGTTAATGAGTCTGCCCCAGTTTATAGATGTAGATGTAAATGACTGGTGGGTGGTGGGTGAAGTTTTCTCAACTTTAAAGTGGGAATTTTACTCATAAAACGGGGAAGGCAGCAAGAATGAGTCCTGTGATGGAGGGATTTTAACTGGAGACATCAGCAGTAACTCTGTGTTTAGGTTAACATAAATTCAGGGAGATAGCTATAATCCTCATTCCTTAAGTGTGATTTTCTTCATTAACAATACAGTATTCAAAAGGTGGGAAACTTAGTCCTACTTCTGTCAGATGATCAAAGACAACATCAACAGTCACGATCTTATTCCTAAAATATACTTGATATATTGTTCTGAGAACAGCACTTAATCTTAGTGCTTTCCCTCCCCAAACCCAAAATCTGGGTTTAAATAATGATAACAACCTCAGAAAGAGAATTTCCCTGTAATACCTTTAAATGGTACTCCTTAAAATTCCGAAAGTCAATAAAAATAATAAAAAAAATTCCAAAAGTCATCAAAACAAGAGAAAGGAATGAGGCAGGAACTTGATAGGAATGTATTACCACTGCGTCAAACACTATGAGAAATGTACCAGAGTCTCTGTGCCTTGGGAGGAAGGAACTAGATGGAAACTCTGTGTACTGAGAAAACGATTCTGAAGGTTGGCAAGATAGCTCTGGGAGTAAGGGTGCTTGTGCCAAGCCTGATGACCTGAATGAGTTTAAACCTCACAGGCAGAACTGACTCCTACAAGTTGTTCTTTGACCTTCACACACCCCTACCTGAAATAGATAAATGTAAAAAAATTTCAACAATTAAGTCTATTAATTAGAGAAACTTTTAAGCATTCCTCCAATTTTTTTTTTTAAAAAAGGAAATAGTCAACCCAGGAAAAGTTATAGATGAATTTTAAATAGTATTAAGTGGGGGGGGGGTGTCATTCTGGTAAAGCTACATACATATTGCATAATTCCCAAGATATGACATTCTAGAATAGACAAAACTATAGAGTGGGTCCACAAATCAAAAAAAAAAAAAACAATGAAATTCTTTAAAATTTGTTAAAGCCACAAGAAGTCAAAGGGAACAATCAAATGTTAGATAGTGTCCTGGGTAGGATCCCGAAACAGAAAAGGCTCACCAGGAGGTGAAATAAATGAGGAAATGTGAATAAAGCGTGGTCTTTACTTAATGTATCAATACTGATTTGTTAATGATGACAAATGTACTCCATTAATGTTAATCATAATGTGGCATACGGAAACGCTAATAGTCCTCACAATCATTCTGCAAATCTAAACCTTTTCTACAGTTTATTAAAAAGCAAAACAGGTCCTCCAACCCCAGGATTGGAGGGTATGTTAATTGCTAGTGTGTTTCTTAAGATGAGGCAGGACCACCTTCTGTTCGTAGGAAGTGAGACTTGAATAGAGGATTTCAAAATCCCCAGGAGGGGATAGAAGGAAGACAGAGAAGAGGGAGGAGAGGGGGTGGGGAGGAGAGGGGGTGGGGAGGAGAGGAAGAAGGGTTAGGAATAGAAAAAGCAACCTAGAAGAAGGGGGAGAGGGAAGGTCAAGGAACAGGATGAAAGGAGGGAGGAAAGAATAGGGAAGATGAGAGGAGAGAGACTATGAGAATGAATGATTTCTGCCAGGAGATGCGGGAAAATGAAATGCCATCTTCTGACGTTTATTAGGTCTCAGGCCTATGGGAAGTGCTTTCAGTATTGGCCCGACCTATACAATCTGCCCCCAGGGTCCATTCCAGTAAGCTGTATGTGGGTCAGGGCTACACACCAGGCCCGTGACCCCAACTGTCTCTAACTGCTATGAAGTTGGAGAAGGTCCTTGTGCAAGCCTGGCTACCAAGGACAAGGTATCCTAAGAGGCCACTCTCAACAAGCATAAGATGAGTGAGCCAACTCATGGACAAGCAAATCAAAACCATAGAATGAGTTCTGATCAACAGTAACTCACTAATTTTATATACAGGTGAGACTTCAGGAGAGACTCAAAGAGGAGAGAGGATATTTTGTGGGCTAAGGGCAGAACCAACACTCTGTAAAATACCCATGGCATAGGGACCCACTTACCCCTGGTTTAAATGATGGCAGGCCCAACCCTACACCAATAGTGGCCTTGTTAGGATTCACCACTGAATTATAGTGGATATTCCGGTGGTAGCTGACACGGATGGGTTCATCTTCATTTTGATGGATCCCATGGAATGTGTTGATAGGTTCTGCAGAGAAAGAGAAGGAGGGAGCATCCACAGGGGACCCAGTATGGTTGGCTCTGATGAAGCACCATTAGTCCCTCATCTACCCACTACAGAAGTACCTGTGCTATATTGATACACCTCCACAGGACGGTTGTACATCTCTGCCATAGCCTGCATCTCAATGTGGTTGCCATGGCAGTTGTTTTTCCTCTTGCGATTGATATAGGTCGTGAAGTCTTCTGTGACATAGTTGGAGAAGTAGTCAGCATTCTTCATCTGTAGAAGGGATTAAAAATTAAGGTCTGTGTACAAAGGAGATTCTCTTACCCTCCTCCTGTCCCAAGGCCTCCCCAGGATCTCACCAGATAGTCCATGCAATGTTTTCGTACAACCTCATGCATGTCCTGGTCTCCATACACCTGGTCAGCTGGGGGTGCGGGGACAAAAGAAAGGAGAGGATGGAGTTAGAGTTGTCATCACAAGAGTTCTGAGTTACAGAACATCATTCATTAGAGGAAAGACGGGCTGAGGGACTAGGGAAAGTCCCTTTTCTACACCAAGCCCAGAGAGGTCTTTTGTGTGCTATAATGGAGTGGTGGTAAATGGCAAGCAAGGTCTGCACACATAAACCAGGTGTGGCGGTGCCATGTCTTTCATCCCAGCCCTCAGGATATAGAAGTGGGATGATCAGATTATCTTCATCTACAATGTAAATTCATGAGACTGTCTCAGAAAAAAAGGAACCAGGTCAGACAATCTTGAAGAATGAGAGAGCATAGGGGTATAAATATTAAGTATAGCACAGTCAATGGCCAGCAAAATGACTCTGGATAAAGGCACTTCCTCCAAGCCTGATGCATGAGACTCACATAGTTGAAGGAAAGAACCAATTCCCTTACATTGTCCTATGACCTCTCTACATATATATGCCCTGTGGCATGACACCGCAATCTCCATACCCACCAAGAAATAAAAATGTAGTAACAAAAGATTTTAAAGTGACAATGTCAAACTAGAGGTTTCCTCAACAAGTAAACTGGCCTTTGTCAATTACAAGTACAAAGTAGGGTAGTAAACACTTATAATCAAGGCTGAGTCAAGGGAATTGCCAAGGTCAAAGACAAACTAGATCACGGAGTGAGACTCCATTTCAAATCAAACCAAACCAAACCCTACATTCAATGCCTACCACCACTGCCACAAAAAGCACAAAAACCACCATGCCCCACCATGATTAGAATCTTTTTGTTTTGTTTTTCAAGATAGGGTTTCCCTGCCTGTAGTCCTGGCTGTCCTGGAACTCTTTGTAAACCAGGCTGGCCTTGAACTCAGAGATCCACCTGTCTCTGCCTTCTGAGTGCTGGGATTAAAAGTGTACAATACTATTACCCAGCTATGATTAGAATCTTAACCAGAAGAAAAAGAAGAAAAATACTTACTCTGCCAAATAATAACTAGTAGGTTAAGTAGCCAGAGAACTTGTCTCTGGCTTGACTCTCTGGTTACCAGACAGGTATGACCTGGCAGGTCTCTATTGAACAATTAAGTATGAAGTGGTAGAACCCCTCTATTACCCAGTTCATCAAAGGTGTACACAGACTGATTACACAAGGCCTCTACTGAAAGTAGAGGGCAGCTCACAGCTAAGCGCACTGCCAGCTCAGGACCTGGTATAGCAAAAGAAATTGGAAATAGTCTGCTGAGCAGCCATATAGGCTGAAGCACGGAAGCAGAAGTCTCTTCTCCCATAACGTGGGTCTGAAGATAAGACAAGCCTGACTTTCACTAGCTGTCTTGAAAAAGGGAATTTCCCTGTGTTTCCCCAGAGGTTCACTGCACTGATGGGATCCCCCTGGGGCTCAGGGATGCTAGAAATGGGAGCGTGCCCACCAGTCAGGCCTGGCAGTCTTTTCTCTGAAGACTTGCCAGCAGGTCTTCACTGCCTTCTGATTCCCTCCATGAGGGTTCTGTACGGTACAGAAACAAAGGCTGCACTGAGAAAGAAAGTGGGCAGCTACATACAACAGACTCAACTCATCCTAGAGGTGAAGATACCTGAGGGGTGGAGGAGAAGGGTCTGTGAAGGCAGGAAGGGGTAGCCCCTTCACTGATGTAAACAAGGATGTGGCTTCTGTGGCCACACTCCCCTCCCCTGCACTTCCAGCAAGTCACATGTCCTGCATACACGCTGGGGGTGGGGGGTTGGGGGCTGCTGCTGCCTTTCTTAGAAGCCAGGACCACAGAGGCTGCTGTGGCTGCTTGGGCTGCTGGAGGAGCTATTTCTGTAGGCTGAGCTTGGAGGCAGTACAGTCTGCAGCTGCCATAAACAGGAACTAAGATGGGAGTAAAAGGGTTAAATAGGGGTGGGCTACCAGGCGCCATGAGCTAGACTGAGATAATGGTGACTATGTATCTCCTAGAGAAGATAGCTCCTTTGCCAGAGCTAGATGCCAGATTTGGGGGGGGGGGGGGCACCATGGGGTCTTTTTATCTTGTCTTTTTCTGGCAGAAAGGTCTTAGTTGTGTGGCACTGGACAAGGTCTTTCGTTTCTGGGTTGAAATTCATAAAGTTGGGACAGTAACTCTTCTTCCACTTAAAATGGTATTATAAAGACTATAGAGGGCTGGGATTATATCTCTGTGGGAGAACATGGGTGCTAGGTTCAATCTCCAGTATGGGGATGGGACTACAAGGGAAGGTTTGTCAACTATCTATAACATAAGCAGTGGTCAAGAAAACAGGTGCTCCGGGCCAGCCTGGTCTACAAAATGAGTTTCAGGACAGCTAGAGCTATGTAGAGACCCTGTCTCAAAAAAAAAAAACAAAAAGAAACAGGCAAGCCACTGCAACTCCTATTATACTACAAGCTATCCACCAGTCAGCGAGAATGCTGAGAGAATTGCTTATTAAGCCCTTCCTCATTTCTGTTGCACTTCCTCCACCAGAGGAAAGCCCCAAATGCAGAAAAGGAGGGCTATCCCTTCAATTACAAACACTGCTAGTTCTCTTTACAGAATTCAGTGCCTTTGCTCAAAACTTTGACAACCAAATTCCTACCAAACTAGCAATACTCGCTTTCTGTGTAGGGCCCTTAGGTACAGGCAAATTATAGTACTTATAGACTCATCCCAGCTTTTGTAAGGAACAACCTCACACTGATTATAAACTGTTCCTTAATTTTTTTTTTTTAGTTTTAACTTGGCTTGAATAGTACCCTATATAGCCCAGGTTGGCCTCAACCTTACAACAATCCTCCTTCTTTGGCCTCCAAGTGCTGGGATTATGAGTATATAACACCATACCCAGTGTATACCTTAACTTTGTAATTATTAACATGGAATAAAATATGCACCTCTAGTCCAAGGAAATAGACACAGTGCCTCCCCATTAAGAGAGAAAAAAATTCTTCGATGCTATAGGCAAAGCACATCATAACATGAATTAGCTTTTCTAATTTTCCTAGTCCTACCAATTCTGTCCTTAAGAAAATTCCTCTTCCTCCCAGATTAGCATGTGGGGGCCAGGATGAACTTCCCTGTGGGGGGTGGACCAAGGAAGGAGAAAGAGTGGCCCAATGGAACCACAAATAAAGGGGGAATTCAGAGAAACTGTTTTGACAGAAACTGAAACTTCTCTTGCTAACACTGCACTTGGCCATATGCACCTGGTTTCTTCTTCCAGGGTTCAGCTGGAAGGGGGTCTCCCACTATACTCCACCTCTGTCTCCTTTCTACACAAGACCCACAAGTTCTCAGTACAGTAAGATCACTAATTAGTTCCATTACAGACTTTTCAAACAACTCATTTGATTCTCACCAAAAAAACAAAAAAAAAAATCAAAAAAACAAAAACAAAAGTTACACAAGATGGGGGAGGCACTGATATAGAAATAGCATAGCTAGTTCAGGATCACATATTTATCACATATTTGGTGTCAAAGATGGAAAGGTACCAGCACCTGGTCCCAAGTGACGTTCCCCCACCCCACCTCATGCCTCACAGCCACCTTATTTTCCTAGGGCTAGGCCTGATCCTGTTTCCCTGCTAGCACAAGGAATGACTTGAAACAAGGGAAAGGCCTGTAACTGAGCAGAGATAACAAGTATCAGGGACGGCACACCACACTTCTCTAGATTTAACACGAACCTTCCTCCCCACACACCATACTACTTTGCTTTCTCTGAACATACAAAGATACTCCCATACATAGAAGCACACATATGTACCCACATGCAGCCTGTAGGGCTTCCAAAAGACTAAAATCTTTGAGACTAAATACCCACACGACCAACTCCACAACACAAAACCACAGCATACTGTGAGTATATGTCCTTGTCACCAATCAGGAAAGACTAGACAAGATGTGAGACTGTGCATACTCAGGAAGCCATGCCACTTCCTTCCCAGCCTTTGCTAGGGATAGGTGGGATGGGAATGACCAACATCTCTAACAAACTTCTTTCATCCTTCTCCTCTACTCCTTGCAGAAGTCCTTTTTCTTCAGGATTCCTAAAATGCTTGAAAAACAAAAACAAAGCAAACTGCATTTGCCCATACTTACCGGGAGAAGCACGACATAGAGAGATTATTCTGCACTCCCCACAAAGATTATCTTACTGTATGTTTATGAGTTTTGCTTGCATGTACACATGTGTGTCACATGCGTACCTGATGCCCACAAACAGGAGACAGCACTGGTTTCTCTGGAACTAGAGTTAAGAAAAGTTGTGAGCCACTTTGGGAATGCTGGGAACCCACGTTGGTTCCCACTTGCAAGAGCAGCAAGTGCTCTTAAGTGTCCTTCCAGAGCCACTACTTTTCTGCTGTGGCAGTCTGTTCTCCTCTCATCACCTGAGTCTTATGGACAGAACTCAGGTTGCCAGGCTCAGCAACAAGTACTTTTACTGAATGAACCATTTCACTTCACTGATTTAAGTCCAGATTATTTCTAAAGGGCAGTAAATACAGGGTCCTCCTTGCTTTGGAGGGACATGGGACCACGTACTCCTCAGGTGGCAGCTGCCTGACTGTTTTCCTATCATTAAGTTCTGCTAAAGACAGAAAAGGAAACTTGGAGGCTCTGCAGATGACTCAAGAGGTAAAGGCACCTGCTGCCAAGCCTGACAACCAGAGTTTGATTCCTAGAGCCCACGTGGTGGAAGGAAGAAAATAACAGACTTCTTTAAGTTTTTCTCTGGTCTCCATGTAAACATATTATGTTGTACACATACACGTACACGCAACACATACACATACACGCACACGCACATGCACACAAACACACAATGGTATGTTTAATAAAGGAAGCTTGGTTTTTGTGGAGAACCTAAAAACAAACCACACAAACGTGGGTACACACAGCAGCAAGGAGCAACAATAACCTTATCTGATCTCCACTGTCCTTCTCCTGTGGGAACCCTAGCCCC